TAGTCCAACACTCAGAGCTTGCTTAGAGAATGCAATGGACAAGGAACAGCAATCACAGGAGTGTGTGGTGTCACAGAAGCAAAGAAATTAGAACTTTCACACTAAAGAGATGGTCCACTATATCCAATGCTACTGATAGTTATAGTAAAACAAGAATTAAAAGAGAAGAATCTACTAGATCCATCATTATAAAGTTACAAGTAATCTTAAAACGAGCAGGGTGTGCAGTTCTCATAGAGTTACAGGGTGTGCAGTTCTCAATGTCAAGTCTACGTGGGCTGAGAAGCAGAGAGAGCTGAGTAAGTGGCCACAGTTCATACAAACTGCCTTTGCTACAGTGAAAGGCAGAGAAATAGGACAGTGGCTGGAGACAGATGTAAGGTCAAAGAAAATTCTTATTGCAGGTGATCGGATCTGCTTCATTTTAACATGGGACAAGGAGTGCATGTCTGCACACTGATACTAATAGTGGTAAAGGGCAGAGTTACCACACAAGATTTGTAAGATCTTGGCAAATAAAAATTCAAATTTTTAAATAGAATGTGATGGTGTTGAAATGTGAAAATCTACATTTTACTAAGTCCCATATAGCCTCATTTAAATGCTGTGTTAACCTAAAGAAGTTCTATCAAACTAACCCTTACGCGACACTTTTGAAGCAGGGGTAAAGATTAAGTAAATGGAACAGGAGTGCTAAATGTAAAAGTTAAGCACATTAAGGAGATGGTCTACTCAAGGGAAAGTACCAGGAAGGTACAACTAGAAACAACCAAAAGGCCGCGGGAGTGAATGATACAGGTAAGAATCCAAACCACACGGAAACACGAGATTATGTAATACAAAGCTATGATCTAAATTACCACTCAATTGGACCTCAATGACCAATGCTAGCCTGAAATTAGAAAAAAATGAAGTAACTTGAAAGTATGACTTAAAATTACAACTGAATTAAATATTGGGTTGGTTTAAAAAGTCTGTTTAGTTTTTTTTTCTTTAACATTTCTCATTTGCACCAATAACTGTTTTTTAACATTTAAGACTTCAGTTTGATTACATCTGAAATCAAGTTTATTCATAATTTGAAGAGAAGATTGTGAATTTAGTGAATATACCATTGGCTAAGGTGAAATGGCAGAAATCAAGCTTTATGAATTACCCCCAAGAAAGCTCCAACATTTCACTATAGGTTTTCCAGAATGAAAGCAGATGGGAACTAAAAATTTTCACCGATAACTTTATTGATTTGGTTATTTTGAGTATGTCGGCTATCTCCCATGTGGTATAATGCTGACTGCTCTCAATTAATGTCTTGATTTGACTGCTATAAATTTCAACTGGTCCACCCAACCGTGGAGCATCATCCAGCTAGAAATCTCCAGCGTGAAACTTCGCAAAGCACTTTTAACACATTCGATCAGTCACAGCACCTTCTTCACACAGTGCACAAATCTCATTTTTTTACACTTCAGTTGCATTTTTACCTTTCTTGAAATAATAAAGCATAATATGCCAAAATGTTGTGCATATTCCCATCTTCAATATTAAAACAGCTACATAAAAATTCACTAACTTTGATAAGTTTTTATAAATGCACACTTATATGACAGCTGTCCCAGTACAACCTAACAAAACTGTTTAGAATGAAGATAAAGACAACTAGGTGCTCCTAGAACCATCTTACAGAAAAAAACTAACAAACTTTTCGGTCAACCCAATATTATAAAAAAGATCTTTACAAAACAGTGAAAGGACAGCAAACTCACAGTTAGTAACAACCACACCTAAAACAAAAGCAAACTAAGAGGACAGCTAGATCAGGAGCAGAACCATAGAAATGAAGATCTCATGGAGGGTTAGCAACAGGGGAGAGGGAGGAGGAGAAGGGGGGAGAAGGTACAGAAAATAAGTAGCATAGACAGATAGAAAATAGATAGGGGGGAGGGTAAGAATAGTAGGGGAAATACAGAATCTAAAGAATATGAGACACGTGTTCATGAACTAAAGGGGGAAATGGTGGGGGAGGGGTATGCAGGGTGGAGGGGAATGGAGGGGGGGAATAGAGCAAATGTAATGGCATAATCAATAAAAAAGTTTAAAAAAAACAATACAATGAAATAAATTTCTTGTCAATTAAAAACTTGTTAAAAGGCACATAAAATACAAATGTCTTCGAGAAAGTGATTTTATCATTTTCTTTGGATGCTAATAACATAGCAAACTATTTGACAGCATACGGAAGACTACAGGGATACTGAAAAAATGAAGACAAAATGCATTTCCTAGTAAAACAAAAACAGTAAAAAGAAAATTAAATAAAAATCAACACTTAAAGAACTACTACTGTTACATTTATTACTAACATTGTTATAGTGCTTGTTACAAGACAAACACTGTTTTAAGCTTTATTTTTCCCATGTAATTCTTAACAGTAATTCTGAAAAAATATATAACTTTCCTCCATTTTACAGATGAGTAACAGAGATCTCACCTCACACAACCAGTGGACAACAGGCAATGCGACTCCCGAGTCCGTGCTGCTAACGACTATGCCGCACAGCTCTATTCTGTGTATCAGCAGTGAAATGGCAAGTGTTCTACTGTCGGATAGATGGACTCCATGTGGGCATTACGAGAAGGCACGCACTACGGAAATGATGCCCAGGAGCACTGTACTGCTTGGAATGCTGTGTACACAACTTAAAATCCTATTGTTAATTTTTTTGCCAGAATAATAAAGAAAAACATTATTCTATCAAAAAATACAGAAAATAGGGAGAAATTCATTTAATATATCAATAAGAAAAGGTGAAAATCTGTATTCAATAATGACAAAACTCAGAAACATAATTGCTATGCAAAAGGAGGTTCTATTGAATGAATTTTTCTTAATATTCCTCAACACTTTGCTATGTGATATATCAGATGTTATACACAGAAAGTTAAAATTCAGTGTGAAATTCATTTAGAGATAAAGGGCACATCATCCAATGGACTGTAACAGCTGCAGATTTTTGTATCTTCTTTGAACTATTAATGAATGGTTAAATGAAGCTCAGCTATTAATGAATGGTTAAAAATTTTTGAGTCCAAGATCTGCAATAAACATTAGTATCAGATAATTCTAATTTTAGAAAATTGCTTTATTTCTTTGGCAGAGCATTCTCCATGACCCTCTCCGTCGTGCCTGAAACAGTTATATTGCTAGTAGAAAGAAGAAAAAAATCACAAACCTAAGAATATTTCTTTAATTCAGCTGCTTTTAGAGATAGTAATGTGTAGATCAAGAAAGCATTTATATGTCTCAATGTGACCAAAAGGTTAAGAATTTTATGATTCTCTGTAGCCCAGAGACCTCTATCCTTCTCACCCCAACCCAGTCCATTTGAACATGCTAAATAAAATTTTAAGGAATACACGAGGTCTGTCCAGAAAGTATTCCAGCCGTGTACTAAGTGAAATGAAGATTTCATTGAAGAAGACACAAAATACGAGAACTACTGTACACAAGACAATGATGTCTCAGTCCCCTTTAAAGTAGGCACCTTGAGACCTCACACAGTTCTTCCAGTATCTCTTCCACTTTCAAAACTTTGCTGTGTCTTCTTCAGGCATGGAGAACCAGGCAACTTCCATTGGGATGAGTGGGCCCTGGTTTCTAGATCATAGCCACAGACTCATGATTCGTCTCTGGTTATGACCTTCTTGAAGAAATCTGGTTTATTGGTAGTAGTTTGAATCAAGTCATTAGCAACAAACTACACCACAATGATCTTTCTGGTAGCAGAAGCTGAGAAATGAATTTTGCCACGACATGTTTCATGACAAGATCCTGAGTCAAAATCTTGGACACAGTAGTTGTTGGAATTTCCACATCAACCTCTAGTCCTCTCACTGTCAGTCGCCAATCTTTGCTGATTGCGGCCTGCACACATTCAACATGATTCTCAGGTGTTCTGCTTGTTGTGGGCCTTCTAGAATGTGGATCACTTTCAATGGATTCTCAAACACCTTTGGAGCATTTATGCCACACTTTTTTAAAAGATGTTATTTATTTATTTTTAGACAGAAGGGAAGGGAAGGAGAAAGAAAGGGAGGGAAACATCAATGTGTGGTTGCCTCCCATACGCCGCCCCCACAGGGGACCTGGCCTGCAACCCAGACATGTGCCCTGACTAGGAATCCAACCAGTGACCCTTTGCTTCTCAGGCCAGCGCTCAATCCACTGTGCCACGCCAGCCTGAGCTGGGCCAAACTTGTATTTGCACTGTACTCATTGCACTGTACAAAAGCTTTCTGAATCATCCAAATAATTTTCACAGAGGAATGTTCAAGCTTAATGCAAACTTTGAAGCAGATATGTTGCTCTACTCTCACCATCATTTTGGATGAAACAGCCACACAGCACATGCACTAACACCGTGGTGTCTACCACCCCCACTGACTAGTACACGGTGAAGTCGTCACTGTTCACACATGCGCATTGCAGTCCACTCTTCTTGGCTGCCAGGTTACATCTATGCCACACAAACTGTTCTAATTACGTTAACAGTGGCTAGACTTTTTCCGGACAGACCTCATACACTCAACCAGAAAGATTTAAAGCTTGAAGTTATATAATATGATTAACATAAAGGAACTAAATTTGGGCTTCAAGATAAATCAGCTATTTCTAGGCTTCTTCCTAGACTATATTATGGCAGGAACCTGATCTAGGATAAAACCAGGAAGCCCCAGTTCATTCCCGAGCAAAACGCCTCTGTAAATCTAACAAAAGTGGAAGACACTGTAATAATACAGAACCTAAATGTAGACAGAGGCCATAGTATAAAAATATAATGGCTATAATTTACTTTGTGTATAATATTACAGGAAGGCAAATTACTTTTAAATATGCTTTAAAAATTAGATTATTTTAAATACTTTTTGAAAGTATATGGAACGGATGTTTTTCCCATGTTTGCGATCTCAAAATCTATCTCAAGTAAAATTTAGCATCTTACCTTAGACCAAAGATGTGTGATTGCTCATAGTTGAATAAAGAACGAATCTTAGCTTCAGAGTTCAAAATTATAAGTCTGTCAATAATATCCTGAAAAAGAAAGACTTAGAGTGACACTGGGCTTGACTGAAACCATTTAAAGAAAATCAAATAAACAAAATATTTAGATTTGTAGTTCTTAAACTTGGCTTTACATTTGAATCACATAGGGAGCTGTTAAAAAAAAAAAGTTACTGATGCCTGAGTCTCATCTCTAAAGATTCTAATTAACTGGTTTGGGCATGACCTGGGTGTTAAGATTTGTGAAAGTTCATGAAACAAATTATCTAATGTTTAGCCATGGGAGAGAATTGCTAATTTATATCCCATTCTGGTACTGTGCGATCAGCTTAAGCAGATGGTTAAGTACTAATTAAACTGCTAAAAATGTAAATTACTCTGAAAAACAAATATGAAATCTGCAAATGTGAAGCATGAACAGTTTTACCTAATAACTATTTGAGATTTTGTTAATATGTATTCTCTCTTCATGTAAATCAGTGGTTTCCAACCCTGGTTGAACACTGGAATCACCCAGGTAATTAGATAGATGATAGATTGATAGATAGACAGACAGATAGATGTCCAGGATCTATCTCGGAACAACTAAGTCACTATCAGAGGGGGTATAATATTAAAATCCTTTTGAAAGCTCCCCAAGTTGTTGCAATGGGCAGCCAGGCATAAACACCTCTGATGCAAGAACAGGGAAACCTGATGGCTTACATGCCACCAGCTGTCTCAAACACTGACAACTTCAACCTACCACACAATTTCAAGCACTCAATCAAAGCCTTTCTTTTTATAATGCCCTGTTTTTGTGTGTATCTTCAGGATCAGGCCTAAGAAATGTATCCACAGACAAACACTTATATATCACAACACTCATTTTCCTGACCAAGAAAATTGCTACCTGCTAATGAGTTTAAATTCAAGATAATCCTGTGACCAGTAGGGCAAAAAAAAAAAAAAAAAAGGTTTCACTATGGAATAAAGTCACGTAATATTTACTGAGGTCTATGTGAGTGGTAGAACAAACATCATACCATCAAATAAGTAGAGGCCAGAGAATGAGTTTGTAGGGAGTAGGTCATAATGGATATCTCAAAATCACATTTCAAAAACACTGATAGCAACATAGTAAAAACTAGATGGTGGGTAAACTTAACTAGTGAAAGTTTATATCCAAAACTTAGGAATGCATTAACCATTTTACAGATATTTTGTTAAAATGTGTAAATAATATTAGCAGAAGAATTTACAGTTATCAGATATAAAATAAACTGCCTAACTATAAAGAATAAAAAGATTGAGTTCTTAAAGTAATCTGTCATTGTTGTCTGCTGCTTAGCCAAGCACTTGTTTCAAACATTATGACAGAATAAAACTCGTTCAGATTCCCAACTTCATATTTGTATTCACATTAATTGCCCCTTCCTCTCCCTTCCTCTACTAATTTTCCACTCTGACAGGCCATTTAGCTCGGATGACAGGTCCTCAGAACTCTCTTTGACTTTGCCCAAGCACCTGGACACTATCAAGTAGTCTCTGCAGTAGACATGTGGAGAAACTTGTTTGCTATGTAGTTCTCCTTCAAATAGGTGTTTGTTTAAATAGGTAGATATTTTTATTGTACACTATTACAATATTTAAAAATGATCTATTATCACTCTTTACCATAGTAAATCTTCACAAATCAATATGGAATTGATTATGTATCACTAGCTTTCTCTCACCTGAGAGGAGGGAGACTGTCAGTTCCTAGCAGTTTCTAAAAGGATTACTGGAGATTTCTGTTCATTCTCAGGGTACTAATACAAGTGACTAAAATTGGAACAGTTATCTGATTATTAAGTTCAGACTATTTGAAAGCCAATGATGCCTTGTGACTCCAAAGTTCCTGCTCTGAATTTAAGTACTAGATATGGTAACAATAAAAAAGAGAATGTATTACCAACAAACTAATGGAAGAGTAGATTACAGCCATCTATCAATGATAATGCATTTTCAGAAAACAAATGTTACAGTAAGTAATTTCTTCTCCAAAGAGGATTACATTGATGGATCACCACTTAGGGAACAAAACAAAACTCCTGGGAAGGCTGCCTTATGGAGAACTTCAGTTTCTAAGCACTGCACTGCATGTCCGTAAGGCAGTTTCCTAAATCAACAGCTTCCCAGCAACCGCCTTGTGTAAGAAAGGCTTCGGACTCACAAAAAGTAGTTTGAAACTCATTTTAAAAAAATATTATCCAGCTTAAGAATATGTTTAATGATCTAGTAGACCATGATGAAACCAAGACTGGTAAAACGAAGAGAAATGTGTATCGCGTCTATAACATACATATTTAAGAGCCTACCTACTCTGCTTACACTTGTGTCTGACCATGTTTGTGCTATCTAACCCCTTGCATTTAACAAAGGGCCCAGTGAAGGGTGAGACACTGGTCAATCATAAAGCCAATATTCCTGCACCTGCACTACCTGTCCAGTCCATGAACACCCACAAACAAAACTCGAGTCTGACCAGAAAGGTCCTTCAAAGTGAGGAGTGTATTCGTCCATTCTGGCTGCTGTTACAGAATATCATAGGCTGGGAGCTTAGAAAGAATAGATGTTTTATTTTTTCACTGTTCTGGAGGCTGGGAAGTCAAAGATCAAGGTGTCAGAAGATTCTGTGTCTGATGAGGTCCTACTTTCTGGTCCATAGTCATGTTTTCAATGTATCCCTTTCCCTCACATGGCACACGGGGAAAGGGAATCCTCTGTGGTCTCTTTTATAAGGCACTGATCACCTCCTAAAGTCTCTAAATCAGGCATCATTACATTGGGAATTAGGTTTCTTATTTTGCCCTATCAAATTCACCTTAAATTTTTTTTCTTTTTCTTTTTCTTTTCTTTATTGTTCAAGTGCAGCTTCAAAATCAGGTTTCAACATAAGAATTTTAGGGGCATAGGAACAGTCTACAGCAGAACAATAGAAGAAAATGCCTCTCTCTTGTTTGGTGATAGAGTGAGTTAAATAGTGTCATTGTTCCCACACCCAAAAAGGATCCCACAAAAGAAATATATGTCCATGTCTTAATTCCCAGAGCCTGTGATTATTACCATATTTAGAAAAAAAGGTCTTGGCAAAGGTAATTAAATTAAGAATCTTGAGATAAGGGCATCCTAGGTTATAAGAGAAAGACAAAGAGGTAACTCCATACTTCTTTCCACAGTGGCTGCATTTCTACCAACAATGCAGGGGGGTCCCTTTTCTCTGCATCCTCGCCAACACTAGTTACTTGTTGATTTACTGAAGACAGCCATTCTGACAAGTATGAGATGATATCTCATTGTGGTTTTAATTTGCATTTTTCTGATTATTAGTGTGACACTGAGCATCTTTTCATATGTCTACTGACCATTGCAAAAAAATCAAAATGGAACTGTCTTATGACACAGAGATTCCACTTCTGGAAATTTATCTGAAGAAACTCAAAACACTAATTTGAAAGAACATATACACCCCTATGTTCATTCCAGTGTTATTTACAATAGCCAAAATTTGGAAGCAGTCCAAGTGTTTATTAGTAGATAAGTGAGTAGGACAGCTATGGTATATTTATGCAATGGAATACTACTGAGTCATAAAAAAGAAGAAAATTTTACCATTTGCAATAGCATGGATGTATATGGAGAACATTATGCTAAGTGAAATAAGCAATCAGAGAAAGATAAGTACCACATGATTTCACTCTCATGTAGCATCTAATGAACACACTGACTAATAGAGGTAGACTCATAGAGAGCAGCTCTGGGGAATGGGAGGAGCTGGGCATGGAGGGATTGAGCAAAAAGTAAAAAACAAAGAAAGAACTCATGGACTTGATGACAGTGTAGTGATTGTGGGGGAGAGGGAGGTGGGTGGATGTGGGAAAGGGTATAAGGGGAATAAATCATGATGAAAAAATTAAATAATTTTTAAAAAGAAAAAAAGGCAAAGACATTTAAGGCAGAGGAGGAGAAGGCCTTGTGAAAATCGAGGCAGAAAGTACAGTTATATAGCAACACCCAGAAGTTGGAAGAGGAAAGAAGGGCTTCTCCCCTGGACCCTTTGGAAGGAATGTGACCCTACTGACATCTTGACCTCAGACTTCTGGCATCCAGAGCTGTGAGATAATAAATTTATATGGTTTTAGGCACCTGGATTGTGGTAATCTGTTATGGGATCTCTAGGAATCTCTAACACAATGGGAGATGGGGAAGACGTCAATATGGAGTAACAGGAGTCCCATGTCCTCTCCTACAGAGAATGCCATCTGGAGAAGAAGAACATACTAATGGTAATTAGAGCAAACAATTATATAGCACTTATCTGTCAGGCAGTGCTATAATCTTTCATGTTTCATTTAATTCAATTCATTTAATTGTCACAGCAACCCTGAGACAGGAATGTTATTGCTTGCCCTCTTTTAACAGAGGAGAAACATAAGGTCCAAGTTATCCAGTCATACTTCTTGTAAGAGGCAGAACCAGAACCAGTCTGGCTTCAGAAAACAAACTTGTAACAACAACTACACTATCTATATGCCCTTCAACAAAACCAAGCTGGACAACAGTAATAAGAAAGGGCACAGGGTGGATAGAGCCTTGGGGATCAACAGAGGGACAGACAGATACTGACCTGACTGCCCTCGAAGTTCTACTTCCACTTGTCCCTGGTTTTCTTATAAGTTGGTTATGAAAGTGAACAGATTTCTTCTTTTGCCTAAACTAATTAAATTGATTTTCTTTAAGAACTAAAGGGATCCTACCTGATATGTCACCTATATAACTGAAAAGCAATTCAAAATTCTGTAGAGCAGCAATTTTTAACAGGTGCCACAAGAGACACACTGGTATGTCACAAGAATTTTTAAAACATGCAATACCTGACTCTTCAGCCAGGGACACTGATCTCTTTTCCTTTACATTGTCAAATTAATAAAGTGACAGCAGCCAACACAACAATAGCCATCCAGTGTGAATAAGTAAAAATTATACCTATTTTTGTCAGATTGGTAAAT